TGGTTAGAGCTGGGGGGGCTGGGAGACAGGACTCCTGGGTTCTCTCCTGGCTCTAGGAGGGGAGAGGGGTCTAGCAGCAGCCCCTCAGCTGCTGGTCTCTTCCCAATGCTTGTGGTGGGGAGTGGCCAGCGGCACCCCCCGTTTGATGCGGGAGCGGTCCCCTGTCATGATGCGTTCTCTGTTCCAGCGCCCCCTTCGACAGGACGGGCAGCCTGAGCTTCTCGCTGAGCGCCGATGACGACAGTGTGAGTGCCCCCCCGCCCTGCGGCCTCGGCCCCGCCCCCGATGTCCCCCTGGCTCTGCGTCCCAACCCCACTGCCCCCCTCCCCACCTTCCCTAGCTCCGCATCACCCCCCGCCACGCCTCTGCTGTGCCCTCTGCCCTTCTCTTAACGCCTGTGCCACCCTCCCATGGTGCCTCTCATTCCCAGCATCACCTCGCCGAGCGCCGATGACAAGCGCATGAATGTTCCCCCCCCTGTGGCCACCCCCTTGTCCCCCGTCCCCCCCGTCATGCCCCCAGCCGGTACCCTGACTCTGCCCCCTTCCCCCAGCCCAACTCCAACCTGTTTGAAGTCTGCTACAAGGAGCGGATCCAGCAGTTTGATGACGACGACTCGGACGGGGAGGACGCCTGGCAGGAGAAGGAGCTGGGCTACTCGGGGGGCCCCCCGCAGCCCACAGGGCCCAGGTATTGGCCCCCAGTGACTCCAGGGGGGCAGGCACGGGGCCTCCTGGTCTCGGGGGCGGCCAGGATGCCTGGGTTCTCTCCCTGCCTCTGGGAGGAGAGTGGGGGCTAGTGGTTGGAGCAAGGGGGGGCTGGGAGCCAGGACTCCTGGGTTCTCTTCCCAGCTCTGGGATAAATACCAGGTTGGGTGAGCTCATGGATCTGATCAGGGATGGCAGGGAGGGGACGGTGTAGATGGGCCCGGGAGGCTGATCCGGGATGGGGCGGGAGGCTGGGGTAGATGGGCCCAGGGGTTGGGTCTGGGAAGGGGGCGGGATACCCGGGTAGATGGGCCCGGGGGGCTGATGCCGGCCCATTCTCTCCCTGCGGCAGGAGCTGCGGCAGCACGGACAGCGAGGGCAGCCGGGACTCGGAGGAGGAGGAGGGCGAGGAGGAAGACGCTGGCGGGGGCGTGGAGGACGGAGGAGGTGGTGGCGAGGCCGAGGGTAAGACCCCATTGGCGAACGAGGTGAATCCAACGGTGGGGGGAGAGGGCGGAGCCAGAGGAGAGGGTTGGGGGCTGGCTCTGGGTGGGGTGGTGGTGTCTAGGTAATGTATGTAAATTAGGTGGTGCATATTCATTAAACATGCAAATCAAGGCCTCACTTCCTACTTTCGGTGGTGGCCAGCCCAAGCCGCTGCGCCCGGTGGGTGCCGGTGTTGCCCGCTGGCACCAGGGAATCGGAGCAACGGGCCTCTGCCCGGCCCTGACCCCGCTCTCTGCTCTCCCTTCTCAGGGGCCAGCCCTGACCCGGTGCCTGCAGAGCCCCCCGCTCCGCTCCCCCCCAACGGCGGGGTGGACACCGGGGTGGCTGTGTGGGACAGGCCTGGCTCGGATGCCTCCCGCCCCCCCACGGAAGGGAGCTGGGCCCTGTTTACAGACACCCCAGCGCTAACCAGGTGAGACCCAACCCCCTCCGCCCGCCGCAGGGCGGCCTCATCTTTATTGGCCTCGGGGGGGCACCAGCTGATGTGGAAGACGGGATGCCGGGGTCGATGGGCCTGTGGGTCGGGTCTGGGCTGGGGAGGGGGCGGGAGGCCGGGGTCGATGGGCCCGTGGGCCGGGAAGGGGGCGGGAGGCCGGGGTCGATGGGCCCGTGGGTGGGTCTGGGGAGGGGCGGGAGGCCGGGGTC